TGATTTTGAGTTTTGTTCCACATTGTTCTCCCACTCTGTCCAGGATCTCCTATACTGATCCCTTTTTGAGGGATTGACAGTGGTAGCCGGGCACCATCTAGTTCTTCTGGTCTCATGGTCATATAGCCTGATGATCATCACATGGTCTACTAGTCCCTTGGACTAATTGTTTCTATGTGTCTTTGGTTTTCTTCATTCTTCTTTGCTCTTGACAAGGAGAAACCCATTGTTGCATCTAGATGGCTGCTTGTGAGCTTTTACGACCCCAGTCGCTACTCACCAAAGTAGGATGTGGAACAATGTTTTTGTGTAGTATGTTATGCCAGTTGAGCTTGATGTCCCCTGTAACCATCGTCTCAAGTTGGAGTGAGGTCCAACTACTTACTCCCTCAGGGTGGTTGGCTGTGGCCAAGTAGTTATCATAACTTTGCCCCTGTTAGCTCTATTATTTATTTGGACATTCTTACAGCACATTCAAATATGTATGTAGAAATATCATCTGCCAACCTTATATACAGTCAAGGGTATATTTTCTTTGCCTAGACATATACAATCTTTTGCTGTTATGAAAAATCTTGCAATGAATAACTTTCTAATAAGACCTTTTACATGTGAAAATATTTGCAGTGTAAATTGCTAAAAACATGAATGTGCATTTGTGATTTTGACGGATATTACCAAAATCATCTCCATAGGGAACATAACATTGTATACTGCTGCCATTATTACATGAGAGTACCTTTTCACCTATGCTGTTGCAAGTTTCACTCCTTCCTTTCCAAGGTTTATGCCTTGTATTTGCTTTCCTTGCCTTTTGGCACTCCAGCATAATGTCGAAAAAGCAGTGACTGTGGAAACTCTTGTCTTATTAAATCTGGGGGATAATAATACAAGCAGTTGTGAATCAAATCTTCTAATTATTGCTCATCTAATTTGGCTGAAAAAAAAATTAAGACCACCAATTGTAACAGCTACAAATCATTTCAGCAAAAAGATCAACAAAAATTTATATAACCATTCCACTATTACTGTGTGTTTTCTCTCCAAGATTCAGGTCACAATCTTCCGTACTGCATCTGTCCATTTGCAATTTATTTTACACAAAGGCAAACAATCCCATATATTATCATCTAACTGAATTACAGCTTATGCATATGGCATCCAGATTACATAGATATCCCAAAATGACAGTCTTATTTTATATACTTATTACTTAACCATTTCACTATAATTGGCTACTACATATACATTGAAGCTAATTGCAGTTTTCATTACTGTGAATTACATAGTAATAAAGGTAGAATCGTAGTATCACATCTCCTTTGCCACTTATTAGATGTGAGACTTTGAGCAAACTGCTCATCTTTTAAGGCTCAGTTTTTTTCATCTGTAAATTAGAAACAATAAAAGTACCCATAATAAGGATTATGCAGCGATATAGCTCAGAGGGCAGGAGTGCATAGGAAAGGACACAGGGAAAAGATAACCACAAGGAGGAAGTGGGAAGAGAGCTGTTCATTGTAGGGACTGCAATCTATGTCATGAAACAAAATGTGCATGAATTTCCATTTTCCATGGAAAATGAATTTGCTCTATAAACCTTTTTTTTTAAATACCCATATTATAGAGTTGTTATGAGGATTATTAAATGATAAGACATATAGAGTGCTTAAATAATTTTGGGAACATAGACAGTGATCAGTAAACAGCTATTATGGTTATGACTATTCCAATACCCAATGAACATTTAGAAACATGTACTTATTTTTCTGTTACAATTAGGTTCTTTCTGAGATGGCATCTGTGATTCAGCTCTTCAGAACTTAATGAAGCTGGTGACCCTGTTGGCAATGTGGAGAAATCATGACAGAAAATGTAGTTTGTACTGGAGCTGTCAATGCTGTAAAAGAAGTTTGGGAAAAAAGAATACAGAAACAAAATGAAGATCTGAAGAGAGAGAAAGAATTTCAACAGAAGTATGTTTTAGCATGCCTACTAATGAGAATTCATAACACCATCATTATAATACAGAGCATTTAAGTTAGTTATAGCTAGAAAACAAATCAAATGTTCTTTGATAGCTACTTTTGTTGATTATTTGTCATTCTAATGGGCTAAAATAGGAATATTTCAATTTTAAACTTATTTTTCTCTGTTAATTGTATACAAAAATTTTTTCTAACGGAAGTAATAGAAAAACTTTTACAAGTGTTAGACCTTGAATTATTCTCATGTATGTTTTCAAGAAGCAAAACCAATAGGGATATACCTCAGAATAACTAAGATTTTATGTATTTTTTATATCTGAAAAAAAAAAGTGCAGATAAAACTGAAATGTGGCAATATGCAATTTAACTTTGAAGTTGAACTGTATTGTTAGCAAGTCATGAGAAAACCTACTTATTAAATATCTATGGATTAACACCCAAACCAAAACCAAACTCTCTTCCATAGAGTTGATTTTGACACACAGCCACTCCCAAGTGGTTTCCAAGGCTGTCAATCTTTATAGAAGCTGATAGCCTCATCTTCCTTCCGTGGAGCAGCTAGTGGGTTTGAATCGCTGACCTTCTGGTTAGCAGCCCAATGCCTTATCCACTGTGCCACCAGAGCTCTTTATGGATTAGGGAAATGCAAACTTAAACCACAATGAGATACCACTGCACACCCATTTTTAAATAAATAAATA